AGATAGACGAAGTACACTGCTGAGGGGAGTAGTGGGCAGGTCAGGAGAGGTCTGCCACGCCATGTGGGTCAGCTCCCTGGCAGGGTCTCTAACCTGTGCTGCAGTGGCTTCGGAGAGCTTCATTATGGGGTGCTTTAACCTGTTGCACCACCAGAGAGAGCCCCTGATTTCACTTTTTAATTCTGTTTTTTTTTTTTTTTCCTTTAAGTATTTTCAGGTTATATTAGGTATATAACTTGTTTTGGACTGGTACATCTTATATTGTTCCTCTGATTATGAATAAAGGTCTCTATTTTTAATCACTGCTTTTTGTTTTTAAGTCTACCTTTTGTGTTGTGATATTTATTTTTCTGGTAATTGTTGAGATTTATCTGGTGTTTCTTTTCATTTGCTTTTTATTGTTTTTATAGTTGGGCCTTACATTGGTTTTCTAGGGCCACCATAGTAAAGTACCACAAGCTGGGTGATATTTAACAATAGAAATTTATTGTATCAGTCCTGAATGCTGGAGATCTAACACTAAGGTATTGTCATGTTCTCTCTGAATATGAGGCAAAGAGAGGAATGTTCCTTGCCTCTCTAGCTTCTGGTGTTTACTGGTGGTATTGGGTATTCATTGACTTACTTACTGCTTACCACCTTCACCTCACCTCTGAATGTGTGTTTCCAAGTCTTTTTCTTTCTTTAAGATTAACAGTGATATTGAATATAGGCACCATTCTAATACATGTGACCTTAGTTATATATGCTGTAATGCTATTTTCAACTGAGTTTATTTTCACAAGTTCTGGTTGGGCATTAATTTCTAGGGTGAGATTCACTCAGTTTAGTACTGTTCTGTTGAGGTGTAATTTACATGCACGGAGGGCTCCCTTTTTGTTTTACAAATTTGTAAAATTTTGGCAAATGCATATAGTTGTACAGCTATTAATGTCATCCCCTCACCACAGTCCCCCTTCTCCCCCCCCCTAAAAAAAATCCTTTTATAGTTGATGCCTATACCAATTGCTAACTCCTGGCAACCACTAATCTGTATTATGTGTTTGTATTTATGCCTTTTCAAAACAGTCACATAAATGGAATTATCTATATTGTATTTTTATAACAGCTATTTTAAATTGTCTTCCAGTTAATACCAACATCTGTTGTTTCAGCTTTGCTGTCTCTTAATTTTTTCTTGGTATTTTTATGTTGAGTGACTTTGGATTACATATTGTAATGTAATCCAAATTACAATTTTATGAAGTACTGTTGATTTTTTTTTTAAAGGCATACCAACAGTCTAGTTGAGTTAAAGCTAGATATTCCAGTGAGCCACCTTTTGATTCTGGTTTTAATGTCATTTCTGTTTTCAAATCAAATGTGTTTGGAGTGTACACCTTCTAGAGGCTAATTTGGAATCTGGGCAATGGTCTTGATTTATATCTTAGCTTATTTCTCAGAATATATGAGATAGGTCATTCAGAATGAGATTCAAGCTACTACTATTCATAGAGAATCTCGAAGTTCATGTATAAACTTCTGGAATCACTGTCCTGAACTCTTAGTACTTAATGATCTTCTTGGTATTTTTTGATCTCTATATTCCCGTTTTTGTTCCTTCACTTTGAAGCTCATGTATTTTTTCTGTTTTGTTGACTTCCCACAAATATTACTGGGAAACAAATATTATGTGCAAAACATTATGTGTTTATGTAACCTCGCATTCCTTGGGGTTCCACTTTGCAGTAAAAAGGAAGATTACAGATGTTTGTTTGTTTTTTACATTCCTTTTTTCCTAAGATATACTTATTTATGGACTGTTTTTATTGTCTTTCCTAAGGCATTTTACAGCAGAGATGAATTTTTTTTTAACTGAAATGAAGCCTGTGAAATTTCTTTCTCTCTTTTTAAACAATTTTATTCATTAGGGCATTACCTCTCCTTTCAGGTCAAATTCTTATTGTCCATGTGATATAGCCAGTAAAGATGTATTTATACTAGATATTTGTAAAATACATCATCTTCACTCTCAATCATTGTTATCTGTTGAGCTTTTCTAAATTCACATTCTTAGGCCTCATCTCTCGGGAGTCTGTTTCAATAGTGATTAAGGAAGAAAATTGCCTGCATGCTTAGGCTTCCTATGTTAGCATTCTTGATTCATTGCAGGAGAAATCTAAGGTCTGGGAGATTTCTTTCAGGGCATCTGTGTCTGAGGAAGAATATGATGAGAGTTTTCCTTGAAAGTTTTTATTCAGGGGATATCCCAGAGCAGTTTAAGTTCCATTTGAACACGTAAGGTATTGAACCACAATTTTACTATCTGTGTTGGCCAGAGTTTCAATCTCTCACCATCATCCCAGGCACTGATTCATCTTTTTAGAAATTGTGAATTATTGAACATGCCATTTTTAGTTGATTATTTCTAAACCAGTTTCACAAAAGTTAGGATTTAATACTATCCTATCACTTTCTTTTTTTAAATATATATTTTAAAAGATTTATTTATTTATGCGTATGGAACTGGGATACAGGCCAGGGGTGCAAGGGCAGTGAGAGGATTCACAGAGACAGTGGAGCGTAGAACAGGCAGATCGACAAGTACATTGCTGAGGGGAGCAGCGAGAGGTCCCCTTGTGGGTCACCTTAGGGCTGGGGATCTAACTCAGGCAACTGTGGCTCCCTTGCAGTGCTATGCTTTAACCCATTGTGCCACTATGGAGAGCCTATCCGTTCACTTTCTTTATTGGTTTAAGGATAAAAGCTTTATTGGTTTAAGGATAAAATTGAATTATACATCTAGCAAAGTGCTTAAGATGTACAATTTCATGTGCAGACAGTCTTGAAATTTTCATATGCGTGTGTCCATGTAACTACTGTATAGTCAAGACAGAGTATTCCTGGTATTTGAGTAGGTTCCCTAATCTTCCTTTCTTGGGTTAGTCACTGTTCTGATTAGTTTCTTGCCTATCCTCAGACATCACATAAAAATGGATTCAAGTAATATATATACTTATGTGTATCGTATTATTAATCAAATGATTTTCATGGCATAAGCCTTATGATTTTTGACTCCTTTATACTAAAAATACTACAACAATATAAAAGCTGATTTACATTGAATATATTCCTTTCCCACTCTACAACTTCAGTAACTTTTTGCTTCATCAACTCACTGCTATCTATAGCTAAAGGTGATTGTTCTTGTAACTCTCACTTTTCTTTTTTCATATTTTCTTGTACTAGTGCATAAAGATGAAAAAAGAGTTTTCTAAAATTTTATTTTCTATTTGTTCTTGACCATGCTAGCATTTGGTCTGGAGTAAAATTCAGTTTGAACAAGATTTCCAAAGTTACGGTATTACTCTCACGTTTTTTTTTCTTTGCTTTCTAACAGCATGATGGAAGTGGTTCACTGCATGATATCCAACTATCATTGCCTTCCAGTCCAGAACCAGAAGATACTGACCAAATATATAAGGTATGACTATATATAGTACTTCTGACTGCTCAAAATTACTTTTATTACTAAAATGGTAAGCAAAAACATTTGATAATGTTTGTATTAAAATATGCAGGTTTTGGGGGGTCTGGGGGTTAAATAGACTTGCTTTTAGATTTTTCTAACTTTAAAATTAAGTTAAAATGGATATGACATCCTGTGTACTTTCATTTTCACTTTAACAGTTGTGTAATCATTTGTCCGTCTATCACTACGCGTCTACTAGTGTACGATTTTTTTAAAGATTTATTTATTTATGCACACAAGAACTGGTGTATAGGCCAAGGTGTGGGGAATGAGAGGACTCTCACTAGAGACATATTGAGGAGCAGAATAGGCAGATCAACTGAAATACACTTCTGAGGGGAGCAGCGGGTGGGTGAGGAGAGGTCTGCCATGCCATGTGGGTCACCTCCCTGGCCAGGGATCAAACTTGTGCTGCAGTGGCTTTGGAGAACTAAATAGTACTGTGCTTTAATGTGTTGTGCCACCAGGGAGAACCCAGGATTCTTTTTTTTATTTAAACATTTAATAATTATGCTTAAGTTTTAAAAACATGCTGTCCAATAAAAATCAAAATGATTAGTAGGTACCTCTCATATCAAATCACAGAATTGAAGAAATATAGTGAATGTGAGATTATTTTTCTTTTCATGTTCAAAATTATAGAATGTAGATAAGTTGTAGTGAATGTTTGAAAGTATCTTTGTAATTTTCATCTTTAGGCTTGTTTTAGTTGAAGAAAGCTTTTTTATATTAAGATATCATTGAGATATAGCATTGCATTAATCTCAACTGTATAAGGTATCATTGAGAGGTAGCATTGCATTAATCTCAACTGTATAATGATTCAAGGCATGTGTGTATGTGTATATTATGAAATGATACCATAATAAGTTAATATCCATCATCATCCATAGTTATAAAAACTATAACTTTAAAAATATATATATTGTGGTAACATTCATTTGCATTGTTGTTTGTATTTTAGAGTTATAGTAACTTCTCCTTTAGGTGCTATTATACTCCTACTACCATGACACCCCATAATCCATTCTACTCTTGTAGCAACTTTCAAGGAAGTAACATGATATTATTAACTGTATTTTCTATGCTATATGTTGCATCCTCCCTGACTTAATAATTAGAAGTTTGTTCATTTTGACCATCTTCAACCATTTTTGCCTACCCTTCCCCCCACACATCTCAGAACTTGAACAACTACTAGTCTCTTCTCTGTATTTATAAATGTGGGTTTTGTTTTTCATTTGTCTCCTCATTGGATAAATTTGTAAACTTTCAAATACCTTGTTGTAGGTATTTTTCACCCTTAGGATCATATGTAGCATGGATTTCTGGAAAATGAACCTTATCGCTTTGTGATTTCTGATCTACCTGTTTTTTCGGTATTCTCATTAATCACATTGAATATTGCTTTCACTAATAAAACAATACAGATAGTAATTTGATTTTTATTTTTTTCACAGTGAAATAACACTTTTTGCCAACTATATGTATCATTGTGAGAACTTGCTATTTGTCTGTTGGGTCCTAGAGAATGATGTAATAACATGTTAGGACAGATCTGTGTCCACATAGGTTTCTATTAGCTTTTAATACCATATATTGTTAATCTACTTGTCGTTCCTATGGCACTTAGGTTGCTTCTATAACTTGGATTTTACATATAGTGCTGCAATGAACCTAGTCATGCATATATCCCTGCAAATAGTGTTTTTGAATTTTTTGGGTAGATACCTAAGAGGAGAATTGCTGGATCATATGGTGGATCTATTTTTAATAATTCGAGATGCCGCCTGTTTTCTTTTAGGGGCTGGGTTACATTTTCTCTACAAACTTAACAATACTTGTTTCTGGTCATTTTGATATGGGCAGTTCTCATAGGTGTGAGGTGGTATCTCATTATGTTTTGTTCACCATTCCCTGATAAGAGATGATGAGCATTTTTTTCATGTGTTTGTTGGCCATTTTTATGTCTTCTTTCAAGAAGTGTGTATTTACATCTTGTGCCAATTTTTATTGTTTCTGTTTTTTTCTGCTGAGTTATGAGAATTCTTCATAGAAGACCCTACATATGTTACCCCTTGCCAATCACATATAAAGGAGTGAAACTAGACTACTCTCTCATCCATATGCAGAAATTAATTCAAACTACATTAAAGACTTCGATGTAAGATCTAACAACATAAAACACGTTGAAGAAAATATAGGCAAAAATACTCTAGAACATTGACCTCCATGATATTTTTGGGCAAGGAAAGAAAAGCAAATGGGAAAAGTAAATGGGACCACATCCAACCAAAAATCTTCTGTATAGTGAAAGAAATTGTCATTAAAATAAGGTGACATCCTACTGAGTACAGGCAGCTTTTATGTATTTATTGATAACTAGCTAAAATCACTGTTTTGTATATATTTATTTTCACTATAAGAACTAAATTCTAGTTTTTTTTTTTTTTTGCTGGGATATAAGGACACATGAGGATAATAGCATCCATATCATCTTGTAGTTAGGATAAAATGCTTAGATACCAACAGATACTTAGTTCTTGCTACCTCATAATTACTTACTGAATGTTAGCTGTCTACTGCTATTATGGTTTCTAGTAACATGCTAGACTCTGAGACTATGAATTCTTAAAAGATCAGAATTTTTTTTAAATAGCTAAGATCAAAATTTTTTTTAAATAGCTATTTTTTTTTTATTTCACAACAGTTTATTTTTACATCATTTTGTACATTTTTCCCCCCATCTCAATTGTAATCCCCGCAAGTTTCCCATCACCAAGTCACCCATCACCCATGTGCCATCACCATGATCCCATTTTTGATCCCATTCCTTTCTCCACCCCTGCAAAATGTCTCTGGTATATGGTTGTTCATTATTTTTGTTATTTTCTCATTTTCTCGCCTGGTCCATTATACTCCTGCTATGAGTGAAACCATCCGGTGTTTTTCTTTCTCTTTCTGGCTTATCTCACTAAGCATGATCTTTTCCAGCCCCACCCAAGTTGCTGCAAAAGACATGTGTTTCTCTTTTTTGGTTGTAAATAGCTATTTAAAAAAAAAAATAGCTTAATACCAAGGATGCTTAAGACCTTAATTGGACTGAATATTGACTTAATGTTTCTCATTAGGGTATTTTAAATACATTTAAATACCTAACCTTAATTTTTGAAATGTTTCAGAATGAAGATTTATTAAATGAAATAAAACAACTGAAAGAAGAAATAAAGAAAAAAGATGAAAAAATTCAACTATTAGAACATCAACTTGTAAGTATTATAGTGGAATATATTTCAAACTGGCAAATACATCTTTTTTTAAATAAAATTCTAACCAGAATTGAAATTCAACTTTATTTTTGACTTTCAGAATTGTACTTTTGTTTTTATTTTTAGCTTATATGTACTCAAGCTATATGTTTTAACTTTTATTCTACATATTACATATTCAAGGTAGGAAGAAAATCTTTGTGGACTCATTTTCAGTGGCCTCTGCTTTGAGAATTTGAAATTCGTCAGTTTGCATTCATTTTTTATTGATGCAGATGGATTTTCCTTCACGTGTATTTAAGGAACTATGTTGATCACTTGAGAACAGGGTATATTCTTTCTCTGGAAAGTGTAAAACCAGCTGTTATGACTTAGGGTGTCTGAGTAAAAGATATTCTAAGAAAATGTTTCTTAATCATGGATGCTCTTGAGTGACCTCTCACATTCATGTTTGAATTTTTATAATAAAATTTTATAATTGCTCCAGTAGTCTCATACAAAACAATATGTGCAGTATCTTGACTTTAGTTACAAATTTTTGGGTAATATAAAATGTCATGATAACAAAAATATAGTGGCATAAAAATTATAAGAGGTTAAAGAAAATTTTCTGTTGGGAAATCAGAAGCATATTTTAGTATAACAGCAATTCAGCAATAAGAATACTATTTAACAATATCTCTGAACATAAAGGGTATAGTATAGTGAATTTTGAGCCATTAGTCAGATCATAGACCTTCAACTTATGAACAATAAAGGGCAACTGGACCATATGAGTAAGGACATGCAGAAACTTTTTGAGTCTGAAATATGACTAACATAATAAAACTGAGGACCTACTAAGTATAAAGAAGGAAAGCTTCAAGATTCAGTATTTGTATTTCAAGCTAACAACAGGTCTGGCCAATCCAGATAATTTTTAGGGAAAAGAAAATGACAGGATTATGAAATTAAGCCAGTGTAACATTTTGTAAAAAATTACTGTGGAGCTCAAGAAGTTGCTAGTGTACTTCAGGAAAAAGATGTGATCCCAATTTTTATGTTTATTTAAGTTTCCATTTATGTAAATATTTGCTAGTTTTTACTCAGATATTAGAAGACAGAAGACAGAAAAGAACTTATTTCTGCAATTAGTACTCAGGGTAGATTAAGTAATGTGATTGCATTAAGAGAAATGTTTTATCTTTTCTTTATATGCTTCTTAGATATATTAAAAGTTAAGTCCCAATACAGTGAATTCCAAGAGACTCTTAAAGTTGATATATCTGTAGTGAATTTTGTAGTGACTGTCCTATTTAGGGGTGGGCAATATGTTTATGCTACAGATTTTTTAAAAAATATTTATTTATTTATGCTTATAAAACCGGGTACAGGCCAGAGGTGTGGTGGGTGAGGATTCACCAGACAGAATGGGGAGCAGAACAGGCAGATCCACTGAAATACACTGCTGAGAGGAGCAGTATACGGGTCAGGAGTGGTCTACCATGCCATGTGGGGTCAGCTGCCTGGCTGGGAATTGAACTCATGCTACATTGGCTTTGGAGAGCTTCATAACGTGGTGCTTTAGCCCATTGTGCTACCAGGGAGAGCCCGGTACAGATTGTTTTATAAATGGAACTGGGATACAGACCAGAGGTGCAGGGTTTGAGAGGATTCACCAGAGACAGAGTGGAGAGCAGAACAGGCAGATCTACTGAAATACACTGCTGAGGGGAGCAGCAGGTGGGTCAGGAGAGGTCTGTCACACCATGTGGTAACCTCCCTGGCTGGGGTTCAAACTTGTGCTGCAGTGGCTTTGGATAACTTCACAGTGCTGTACTTGAACCTGTTGTATACCCAGGGAGGGCCCAGATGTTTTTATTTTTAATTGGGTTTCATTTTCTATATGGATTGTAATGATCCAGTTGCAATGAAAACGTCAGAGTATTGGTTAATATTTTTAAAGTAGAAAAACATTTTAATTTGATGAAATTACCAAGAGTTTACTAGTTAGCTTTTTCTACAAGGAAATATATTTACCTTGAGTGGAACTATTCAACAAATAATATGGTTGTATACCAATTTCACCTCAAGGACAAACTGTTACCAGTCTTTTTAAAAATGAGATGTTTGAGGGACCAAGGTTCACATAATAGGTACATTACTTTAATAAATGTCTAAATAACTATACTTTGAGTAGAATTATGTGTAGAGAATCTATTTGTGATTATCAGACTGATCTTATCAAAGAACAGATAACTCTTAAAAATAATGGTTCAGTAGAGTGCATACCTCTTGAAAAGTTTGTTCTCTGTGCTGTTATTAGATAGAGCAACGTTTGATTTATTACATTCTTCCATTTATAGACATTTTGATTGTTTACACTATTTTTAGCTATTATGAATAATGCTGCTGTGAATATTTGTGTACAAATGTATTTTGGACATGTTTTCAGTTTCTTGAATTTGTAATACTTCAGGAAAATACTTAAAATTTATAATCACATTCATTACATATTGTATATTGCTATATATTCAACAACTATATAATTAATACTATATATACTTAGACACATAGAATCATAGGTAGTAGGTTTTATGGGAGACATAAGCACTTACCAAGGATAAGTTTTATTTAAAAATTTAACCTTCCTGTCTGATTATAGAATCCAGTTGAAGAATACGGCAGACTACTGAATAAGCCTTAATTTTTGCCTTTTTCTGTTATTTTATTGGTACTTCCTAAAAGTGTCCCTTATTACTTCATCAGTATAAATATGTGTTTGTAAAAATTCATCATTGGAAAAAATTATTATTTTTGTTTAGGCAAGTCGGTGTAACTGCCACCAAAAATCTAAAGAGGAAAAATGTACATATGCTGATAAATACACCCAAACACCCTGGAGAAGAATTCCTGTAAGTAACATATATTTGTTGTTTATTATTTTGACATTTTGATCCACAATTACTCAAATTTCTAATAATTTTGAATCTACCAGGGCTGTTAAATTTTTTTTTTTTTTTTTGGTAAGTTGGTTTTTCTTGTCTCTCAGGTATTTATGTGCTTTCCAAAGCTTTTCTTGTGTGTCTTATATGATTGAATGTGAATTTAATAGCAATTCCATTCTACAACTCATTTTATATGAATATCTAGTCTTCTCTCACTACATGCATTTGAAAGTAGGTACATGCACTTGAGAGTAGTATGCCCCAGAAGAAATAAAATCCAAAATGTAGTTTTCCTCATTAGCAACATATGACACTGAAAATATATTTTTGTTGTTGAAACTTTGTATCTTTTCTTATTATGATGATTATTAAAATAAGTGTTAAGGCTAATAGGAAATATAACTACGTTAAAATATAGGTAGTAAAATTTATATTTTAGGTGTAGTTCAAGAATGGGTTCTTCTAAAAGTAGAAAGTAACCATGAGTTCTGTGCTTTGTTGTTTCTCAAAAGTGTTACATCTCAAAACATATCTAGTGTTAAAACAAAACAAAACAAAACTGACATTAATTTAATCTGAGTTTTTCACAATTCAGTGCAGGATGTGTCTGAACAGAATCATCATATGACCAGAAGTAATTGTTATCCTAGCTTAAGGTACCAAGTCACATAATTCTTGATTTAATTAGCCAATCTTGACTCTTCTTTGCCACCTTTAGCAGTAGAATCCTAATTATATAAATGAAGAAGGAAATGTAAGAGTCAGTGTAATTAATCTACTTTTTGAAAATTAAGCTATAGGCTTTTATACATTTTTTTCTACTAATAAGTAATTGTTAGTATAAGACACTGTATAAGATACAATGTTAATAATTTATTTGACAGAAGTTTGGTGAACTTCTTGGTCTCTGCTAGACTCTTTGCAGTCATTGTGGGGAACTGAGGAAGGAAATATACAGATAAATACAAATTCCTCCATTAACTAATGCTTAATAAAGGAGATGACAGTATGATATAGTTAAAGCCTATTAAGTTCTATAAGATTCAAAAGATTGGGAATGTCTAATAGTAAGAATCAAAGAGTTTAGTGAAGAAGATGAATGCAGTGATTGAATATCTAGAGCAAAAACAGTCAACAAAAATTATATATTTCCTTATTTTCAAAGACTTTGAAAACTTACCGGTGGAGCTAGTTACAGAAAAAGACTAATTCTTGCTTCTAGACGGATGCTGGGCTTTTCAGGTATCTCCAGATTCCGCAGTTGCTGTGTTTGTGTCTTAAGACAGTGTTCTTACTAAATAGATCCGATCCTTAATTTCATTAAGTATGAGATGTGCCATTTTGTCATTGTCAGTCTTTAATCCATCTCTAGCTCCCTCAATTTCACTGTTCTGGAAACTGTACTAGTGATCCTGTTCACTAGACAAACGGAAAAATGGTCCAGAACAACTCCATGATATTCCTGAAGAAAAAAAAAAATATATATATATATATATATATTTTTTTTTTTTTAATTTTTGAAAACTTTTTATTATTTTGTATCTTTCTTCATTTTGTGCATTTTTTCATTTCAGTTGTAATTCCCATGGGCTTCCTACCACCAATTCACCTGTGTGCCATCACCACAATCCAGTGCACTCTTCCCACCTTAGTTCTGATCCCATTCTCCCTTCCACCATCTTAAAATGTCTCTGGTTTATAGTTGTTCATTGTTTTCATTTTTACTCTACTACCTTTGTCTCTCTTTCTGTTTTTTTTCCCCTGGCCCCTTATGCTCCTGCTATGAGTGAAACCATCTGATATTTTTCTTTTTATTTCTGGCTTAAAATTTTACTAAGCATGATCCCTTCCAGCTCCATCCATGTTGCTGCAAAAAAGGCTTGAGTTTATCATTTTTGACTGCTGAGTAACATTCCATTGTGTTTATGTACCACGTCTTTTTTTTTTTTTTTTTTTTAAGATTTATTTATTTATTTGTGCATACAGAACTGGGGTACAGGCCAGAGGCTCAGGGGCGGTGAGAGGCTTCACCAGAGACAGAGTGGGAGCAGAACAGGCAGATTGACAAAGTACACTGCTGAGGGAAGCAGTGGGCGGGTCAGGAGAGGTCTGGCTCGCCATGTGGTCTCCTCCTGGGCAGGAGGCAGGCGGGAATTGAACTCATGCGGAAGTGGCTTCAGATTCTCAGTGCTGTGCTTTAACCCGCTGCGCCACCAGGGAGGGCCTGTACCACGTCTTTTTAATCCAGTCTTCTATTTTTGGGCATTTGGGTTGATTCCAGAGCAACAAGACAGGAAAAAGACATACAAGGAATCCAAATAGGCAAAGAAGTAAAACTATCTATTTATATATGATATGATAATATACATGGAAAACTGTAAGAGCTCCATAGAAAACTAATGAAAACAACCAGTTTAGCAAGGTTGCAAGCTATAAAATCTTGAATATATTTCTAAGTTAGTTTTACTATGATCTTTGGTGAAATGAAGGTAATCTTTGCAGTCTAGAATTCTTCTAATTAACCCAAACCCAGTTACTTTTTTTATTATAGAAATCACCTGGCTAACTTTGTTTTATATGTAAGGTAACAAAGCCAGGGAAATTATGGCATGCTAAACTTATTAGTGACTGAGATAGTACTATGATTTCAGTCTCCTGATTGGTAGTCTAAGGTTCTTTCCTCCAAAGCCTTTAAGGGTTTAGAGAGGCTTTATAGATTGCAATGAGATTGACATAGTTGGCAAAAAGAACAGTACAACTTAATGGCAAAGAGGTGTGAAAAGAGCAAAGATAATACTAAGTGCATAATTTTGGCTTAACCAAAGATCTATAATAAGGGAAATAGTGAAATTTAGTAGTAAAGCTCATTTGAAAGTAGAACTCAAAACTTTATGCGGCAAGTGCTAGAAATGTAGGTTCACTAGGTTGTATTTAGTATGTTCATTTATTTGGTTAAATTATAATTAATGTTAACATTAAACTAAATTTTAAGTTTGTTTTCTGACTTATCTTTGGACTTAGTGGGATTCACTTGAAATAACTTATTGGAATCCATTTTCTTTTCTCTTAAAAAGTTACATGTATTTTTTTCTTTTATGCAGACACTAAACATACTTAGATGCAGTATGACGGGGATGGGGGGGATGTAGTAGGTTTCTTCTTTAGCAAAATTTAGTTCGGTCATAATTTTTTTTTTTTAAGATTTATTTATTTATTCATACAGAACTGGGGTACAGGCCAGAGTTGCAGGGGCAGTGAGAGGATTCACCAGAGACAGAGCGGGGAGCAGAACAGGCAGATCAACGTAGTACACTGCTGAGGGGAGCAGCAGCAGTGGGCGGGACAGGAGAGGTCTGCCGCGCCATGTGGAGCTCCTCCGGGGCAGGCAGGGATCGAACTCATGTGGAAGTGGCTTTCGATTCTTAGTGCTGCACTTTAACTCGCTGCACCACCAGGGAGTGCCCAGTTCGGTAGTAATTTTGAGAATCAAAACTTGTTGTTAAGTCCCCAAGTTTAGTGTAGGGTTTTTTTGTTTGTTTGTTTTTTAATCTGGCTAAATAAACCTTTGGGAAGACTGAAAGTTACAGTCTGTTTCCATGTTCTTCACTATTTCTTATAATATATTGGGAAATTTCAGTGGCCACAGTTGAGGAAAACAGAATCTGCTTCAGAGATTTTTGAGACATATGTAAGTAAGCATTTCCTCTGATTGCTTACTAGAAACTTGAGGAAGAAGTGTGGTTTCAATGTAAGGCAAAGAAGGATGGTGAACAAGAGAGATATTACCTATTAATACTTGCTATTGGTACCATTGTTGGAAGAAATCTGAAGATGCATATATAATTTCAGTGAGAACCTATCAAGAAAGGTTATCAGTAGACATTTCCTTTTTGAGTGTTTATAAATTGCGTTGTGTTTTAAATTTTAGTTTCCATGTGTTCACTGCTGGTGTTTAGAAATATGATAGATTTTTAAGATATGGATCTTACTATATATAGTATTTTTTAATATGGATCTTTTTATCTGAGCTTATTAAACTCATTTATTTGTTCTCTTAGATTTCCTACAGATTGAAATTTCTTATCTAGACTATCATAACTGCAAAACAGGAAGTTTCCTTATTTGTTGACTAGTTTGCCTTTCCAGTAGTTTGGTAGTAAGAATGATGAGAATAGACATTTTGGCATGTTTCTGAGTTAAGTAGGAAAGTGGTCAGTCTTTGCCATTATGTAAATGCTAGCTATAGATACTGAGAAATATCTATCAAGTAGAGAAGCCTGCCCCATCCTCATTTGCCAAGAACTTTTTGTTAAGTATTTTTTATATTTATATTCACGAGGGATAACAGTCTGTATTTTCTTTTCATGAACTACTTTTGTCTGGGATATTTTTAGCCTTATAAAAGAGTTAGATATTGTTCTTTCATTTTTTACTTCCTGGATGAGATTGTAGAATTGGTGTTAATTCTTCTTTAAATGTTTGCTAGAATTATCCAGTGAAACCATCTGGGCCTAGGGATTTCTTGTCTAAGAGTGTTTAAATTGTTATAGACCTATTCAAATGATCTCTCTCATCTTGGATTAGATTTAGTGTCTTCTCAGTTATCAGTTGTAAAGTCCATAGCATTCCCTTATCTTTTAATAGTTGGAAAATCAATACTGTTACTCAGTTTCTTTCTGATTTTAGTAGTTGTGTCTTCTCTTTCTCTCTTTTCTCTCTTTGTCAGCCTTAGTGTTTTGTCAATTTTATTGACATTTTCAAAGAACCATCACTTCATGTTTTTGATTACCTCTATTTTTCTAAGTTTAGTTTCAGTGGGTTTTTTACTGTATTCTTCCTTCTGTTAAGTTTTCATTTATTCTTTTTCTCTGATGTTGGGAGCATTTTCGGAAGGTAGTATTTTGTCATAACTTAATTTTTTTCTTTTCTGACACTGGTTTAGCTGTGTCCTATAAATTTTGATATTATGTATTTTTTGTATTCAGTTTTGTCTTTTTACATTTTCCTTGAGACTTCTTTGACCCATAAATGTTGTTTATATACAAGTATTTGAAATTTTTCATGCCATCTTTGTTACTAACTTCTAATTCATTGTGGACAGAGAACATATTCTGCGTAATTTCAGTTCTTTAAGTTTTGTTTATAGGCTGCACTGTGTTCTTTGACTCTGGAAAATAATTATGTAATTTACTGTTATTCACTATACTATAGAGTATTCTATAAATGTTGATTACATTTTTACTGTAGATGTTATATTTGATTTCTTCTGTATCGTTGCTGATTTAGTTGCTTTTACAATTACTGAAGGACAAGTGTTTGATGCTGCAACCGTAATAGAAAATTTGGCTGGTCTTTGGTTCTTTCACTTTTTGCTCCCTGTGTTGTTCAATAGTTTGGTCACACACATTGAAGATTATAGTATTTTCTTGGTAGACTGACCCTTTAATCATTTTATAAGGTACCTGTATTGATAATATGCTATTTAAAAAAATCTTTGCATGAGTATATTTTTCCTCTTTTACTTTAAAATACTACATTGATATATATAAAGTATGTTATACTATGTGTATAGTTGAGTCATGATTTTTTAGCTCATCTGCCAGCCTGTCTTTTAATTGGTATGTATGCACCTTTCATATTTGTTATGTTAGTGCTTAAATCTACCATTAATTTTCATATTATCTTTTGAGATCTATTTTTGTGAAAATATTGTTGTTCTAGGTATTATGTTATATGTGCATAGTTTTTCTTTATAATTATTAAGTATACTTTTAAGTCCTTTTGTCTCTCCCATTTTGTAATATGTGTCTTTGGCATTTCCTTTCTATATGTTTAAGAACTGCATGAGACAATATTAGAGCCAGACAAGGATGGAAGCCTAGACTCCCTCAGTTGGTCTATTCTGATGGGAAGGAGAGCTGAGATCACAGCTTTTCTATTGGCATTTAGGAGGTTATTAGGTACAGTTTTTGTATAGGCTAGTTTAGCACTTATCTGCGCTTTTGTCAGGATATAGGTTTATCTTGAGACTTCTTTTTCTTTTGTTTTTGTCTGTACCCACTGGCATTTATGGGTGCTGGTGTTTCTATCACTTAGTCTAAGATGCTTTTAAAAAACGATTATTTATTTATTTATGCATATAAGAACTACTAGGGTATAGGCAGAGGTCTGTGTGTGGGGTGGGGGTGGGGGTGAGAGGATTTACCAGAGACAGAGGGGAGCAGAACAGGTGGATCTGCTGAAACACATTGCTGAGGGGAGGAGGCAGGAGTGGTCTGCTGACTCATGTGAGTTAGCTTCTTGGCTGGGGGTCAGACTGTTTTCACAGTGGCTGACTTTGGATTGATAGTGGTGAGACTTTAACATTTACCCCACCCAGGGAGGCGTATTATGAAAAGAAAACCTAAGGAATTCATTGATTGTTGTTGGATTTCAGGGACCCTCACAGGTCTGCTTTCTTAGCCCTATCTTTCAATTTCATGTTTGTTTTGTACGTAATACCCATGGTGTTAGCTTTTCTTGACAAGAGGCAGGAAAAGCATATCTATTCTAACTTGTACTGGAACTGGAAGTCCCTCTTCTATTAAATTTTAATCACAAGTATGTATTTTCTACTCTGTGAATGTCACTTAACAAGAAGCTATAGTTGACTGTAAGAAAAGTTAGGAAGCTGTTATTCTCTGAATGTTATGTTTAATAAAGAATAAGAAAAATCATTATTAAAATGAAAAGAAGAAAAAATTTCCTTATACAAATACAAGATGTAGAGGCTTATAAACAAAAAATTACCGTAATTTAGGTAGGATCAGGACAAGCTTTTAAGAAATGGGTTTAAAGGGAATGGGAAATTGGATAGGATTTTGACAGATGGCAGGTAGGGAAATAGAAAGGGGCATTTTAAGTGGCAAAAAAGAAAGTGAATAATACTCAGTTTTGCCTTTCTAGGCATAAACTCAAATGACAACTTGTTCTTACTAAGTAGATGCCTCTTGGCAATTGCTGGCTGGGTTGTCTGTCCCTTCTTTCTCATGCCCAGGTTTATGCTAGAGATCATGATTTGTTGGTGTTGTGATGGGGAAGGGGGTGGATATTGAAGGTAGATGTCATTGTTTTCATTTTTAAGATTCTTAGGTATTTGCAGTGTATATCCAGACCCCACATATGTGTAACTTCATCTTAACACAGTAACTTGATTTAATTCAATTTAAATCAACAAACAGAATCTGCTGTGTCGTAGGGACTTTTAGGAAGAAAGGTAAGACATTTAACATCTTTTTAAACTCCTTCCAGGTTCTAGGTATAGTGACATATATTTTTACTTAACATTATTTTGAAGAACTAATGATTTATCAAGAGATACTTTAGTGCAAAGTTGGTGGTTTTAAATATCATGTAAATAGAGATATTCAATTAAAGGAGTGGTGATAAGGACACCATCTTTTATGTTGTACCTTCACATCGTGGAAGGAGTGAGGGAGCCCTCTTGCATTTCTTCTATAATGGCATTGATCTCATGAGTAAGGTCTCTGCCTTCAAAACTCAATCACCTCCCAAAGGCTCCATCACTTACTACCACTACCCTTGGAGAATAGGTTTCATGTGAAATTTTAAGTGGACATAAATATTTAGTCTGTAGCATATTCTACCCCTGCATCTTACAAGTCAGGAAACAGGCTCAGGGTTGTGACTTTCTCAAAATTATAGAATTTATAGAAATGTGAAGGAGGAACATTTGTCTCCTGATTTGTAATCAGTGCTAGTTCCACAAATCTCCAGAGACAACTTATTTCTTTGAAAAGCAATCTGCATTTAGCTTATGTACAAATCTCTGAAAGTTTCTTTATCCAGTGCATGAGATAGATGTTTGGCCCAGATGACCTAAGTAAATGCTCCTTAGTTGAGCACTTGTTTTGTGTAGTTTTTGAACCAGAACATTTCTGAAATGGCAAATTAAAATTGTATCGATTAATTTGGAGAGGACATCTGTGACCATCACTTTATAAAATATTTCAAGCTAGTTTGCAAGTATCTATTACGTCTAAACTAGTAGACAAAGGTAATAATTTCAAAAGGTAGAATCTTCACTTAGTAGAATGGTCTAGTAAAAATCATTAGCTCCATTTCTTATAGCTGTTTTTTCTTTCACTAACACTGAAAATAGGACTTTGTTTGCATTTTAGATTCATGAAGATGGGGTTATTCTTACATTTAAAGAAGTATCTGATTATATTGTACTGAGCCATGGAATATTGGCAAAGAGATGACAAAAAGTTGTTTTGTTTGAAATCCAGGTTCATGAAATCTATATACAATAAGCAATCTTAGAATATATCCTGTCATATTAGTTCTGTGCAATGTTTATTGATCTCAAAATTATGCATACTTTCTTTTGAGAATTGAACTGGGTATGATGGTGATTTACATGTGCATTTTCTTTCTTGAGTGTTTGGATAGTTCCATTTGTGGATAATATTTCTTTCAGTCAGTGAGGAGGCTGAGAACAGATGTGAGGCTCTATGATTCTGTTTGTGTGACTTTCAGCATGATGGGTTTTATTTCTTGAAAATCTGGTTTTACCTAGAAAGTGAAAGAATTGAAGTAAATGACATTTCAGGTCTATTCTAATTCCAACAATCTGTAATTAAAATAAGTAAAGCTGAGAAGTCATAATTGCTTGAACTCTAAAAGCCATGCATGTGGCCTGTATGTCACATTATTGATATATCACTTTCACAACATCCTAAGTCTTTTTACTGCTGTGTTGGTTCTGCTAGCTTCTCCTAATGTTCTTTATTTTACTTGCTAATCCTCTGAAATCCTGTAATTTGAGAAGAAAAAATTTTATATGATAATTTTTTAATTGCTTGATTTGTACATGATGTAATTTCTGTATTAACATCTGAAGGCTCTCTTCCCTTTTAAATGTTTTCATTTTTTTAAAAAAGACTTGAACCTGCCAGTGAAGAAAAATATATGATGATAAATGTCATGTGTATCAGAAAGAATATTTCTTGTGTGTTATAGGGAAATTATTTTTTTCTTAAAATACATGAAAAAACTTGTTTTGATTTATGAGCTATTTTTAGTAATTTGAGCTACCTATATTTAAAAAAAAATCTGTCTTATTAACACTATTGTGTTACTTTTTAAAAAAAAATTGTGACTTTGGTTTCTCTATTTTTCGGTTCCCTTTTTTATTATACCTCCCTGCCCTGTCTCTTTCTGCACAGAGTGGGTATTCTGCTCCCTCCTTCTCTCCTTGGCAGGGCTCCTTCCAGGGGATCCCACGGACTGTTCCACAGCACCGCAGACAGAGTGAGTCTGTGTCTCTCACTCCTATCCTGCTCTGGCTTCCTGTTCATGGTATTTTCCTTCTGCATGACTTGTCCCTCCCAGCACCTCCTTTCCCATACAGAGTGACCTGCAGGCACCTGCTAAACCGGCACATCCTGGGCTCTTCTCTCTTAATTAACACTTTCTTTGACTGCATGTACATAGCCATCTACCTAGAGCCTTAGGAAAGCTATCCAAAGTTAATTTCATTCTAAAAATGCTGTTTAAACCTATTGCTAGGGACCCAAGACCTACTGACATGCATCTGTCTTCAATGCATTTTCTTTTTTCCTGACTTTGAAATAATTTCATTAAAAAATGGTTATGTTTTAATCTAGTTATGTTAAAAATGTACACACTATCTACAGTGGTATAATGGACAGATGCATACTGTTTAGGGAGCAGGCTTACTAGACCATTGCACATTTCTTCAAATATCCCTAATGCTTTGATTGCATTTACTATCATTTAAAAGCAAGCCTTTATAATAATGCTTAACAACTTAATACTTCTTTGTAATATATTAGCTGCTTTACGGTACTGAAGAAATGGCCTTTGAATATGCATGATTTACTAACATCTAATGATTTGATAACTACTTAAAATTTTTTGTTTACATTAAATATACTTTGTAAAACAATGTTTATTATCATTTTGTATTTTGTATTTAAATATATCTGGTAAGTTGGTTATATTTTATCTTTTTTGAAAAGTCACCCATAAAAAAGCTAACATTAATGAAAGAATATAAATATTGTCAATCAGTTCACTTTTATACCTTTTCCATAGATTTATCCTGATTTGTGATTCGTATCAGTTCTCTCATTAAATATTCTTAACCTGTGGAAAAGTCCAAAAGGGGGAAATTTAAGATTAAAGTTAAGGAAGGGGATTTATTTAAATAAGAGTTATTGCTTTTATTGGCAGAATTGTGAGGTATTAGCATGAATTACAGATAAGGTTTGAAGTTTATGTTTTGGCTATCAGTGCTTTTCTTTTCACACTTTTTATTTTGAAGAAATACAGGATTGTTTTGGAAATGTAGGACCATATCCTTCAGTTACGTGTTACTGCACCACACCCTCCACCAGGACACCCATAGCCCTCCAAATTGTATATTGTGTCCCTTCCCCGCTTTATTCTCCTCACCCTCTGCTAGCCCCAGTTCTACAGTCAGATTTTAGGGTTTGTTATGGTTTGGTTTTATCTGACCCTTTATTTTGTTTCTTTGTATTCCATATATCATTGATAGCACCCAGTACTTGTCTTTCTCCTAATTTATTTCACTTGGCATAATCCCCTCCATGTTGTCACAAATGAAGTGTTTATCCAAAATAGATAAATAATAGAATAGAGAGTTTGGATAGGCCTTTATTTCAAGTCATTTAATAGTAAGTTACTTTGTTTAGAGGAAGCAATGAGGAAAGCAATCCTCCTTTACCTCCTCCTTCCTACCATCTCTGTAAACCTTCACTTCTACTTTTCCAGTCTTTAAGTCAATTGCTTTCTTTTTTCCTGTATGTAAAGATTCCTTGTGCTAAGGAATACACTAAACTGCCAGTGACCTAATCTGATTTCAAAGGAGTTATAACAAATGATATTGTAGTCTTAGTTTTAAAGCAAGCAAATAGCAAGGTTTGCAGATTTACCTTCAATTAACACATCTGCCTTGTACTTATTGAAATATTTTTTAGGCTCTGTATTTCACCCCCAGTATTTTTCTCTTGCATTCTTTCCCCCCCTCAACTAGTTTAAATATAGAATTTAAATTTAAGTTTTATTTATTCTATATTGGAAATAAAGTTTCAGATTTATTTTTAAAATATGTTTAAGAGAAACTACTCATTTCACTAATTGTACAGCTTTAGAATTTTCTTGTCCATACTTGAGTCCTTGGCCTTCTAATTTCAAATGTTTTTTTTCCTCCTTTCCTCTTGGATTCAGATTTATCTTTTCATTTCCTACTATTTAGCAACAGTGGCTTGCATCACAACCATCAAGATCTGTCTTTATGACTTTCCAAGATTAAACCTCCTTTCTTTGCATCTCCAAGCTAGAAAAAATAAAGTTTTGATTCTCTGGAGCTTGGATTTCTTAGCATCTAAAAATTTTTACTGGCTAAGCTCAACTTGTACAGCTAAGAAAATTGAACCAGGGACTTTATTACTGAGACATGTTGGGCCTTGTTTATGAAAGTGACAGCTAGAGGACTTGCTCACAGATTTTGATAGCTCTTATTGAACTTGATAAGTTCTTTTAGAGGAGAAACTATATTATAAACTACTACATTATTTTGGAGTCAACTTGAAAACAGCTGAAATAATTTACTAATGAAATTATTATTATTTAATGATAAAATACAGAGAGGGAGAGGAGTGTGTAATTATGAGAGCAAATCCAGTGGTTTTTTCAGAGGGTTTTAGAAATATTATATACTATTCCAAATAATATAAAATTGTTCATAATATTTTTTAGTCATCATGGGCTGATTTGTGGACAAGTTAATTTTGTAAGTGATGATAGATAATTCAGAGAATTCTTGTACATTACAATGTTTCAGTAGTAATTCATTTCGGATACCAACTAAAACACCAACTTAAGTGGAATTCCTTTGTTCTAAAGTAGACATCAGGTAGGATTGCCTATTGCTCTTTAATAAAGCAATCTGTATTTTTTTTAAGGTTTTTTAATGTCTTACTAGCCCAGTAATTTCTTGATATATACTAGTCTAAATTTTTCATTGACATAATAATTGTTCTAATAGGAATTATTAATGACAACAGTCATATTTTCATTCTCCCCTTATAACCTTTCAGGGGAAGTATTTCACAAAACTTTTTGACAAGGGATGTATAATTTATTTTACATAACAACCCAGTATGTTTATTGATTGAAAATATGTATTTACATCTGATTTGTATGTGTATATATTTAAAATTCAGATACAATATTCATAAAATATGTGATACTTTCATTCTCCATTTTGTTTTGTTTTTATTCATGTGCTATCATTCTATGAGCTTTTATTAGTGAATATTTCTTAAAAGCTTTTTTTAATAATACATATAGAATACTAGTTTAATTTTTTCCTTTTATTGGGCATTGATGTTATTTCTCTTTTTCCTTATTAAACAGGAATATGATGGCAGAACAGTTTATCCTTGTGTTTAAATCAGTATAAGCATTTCTCTGTACTTGAGTAGATTTCTAGGATGGTGTGACTTAATCAAAGGCTATATATACTTTCTAGAAACAGAGTATATTATGCTTATAAGGTGTACATTAATGTGGCTTAAACTGATTGGCTCCATATGTGTCTGCAATCACTGTATATATGATACTATCAGTTTCAGTGCTTTACTGAGAAATTAGCTCTGGGAGTGACTTTTCATAAAAATAAAATATTATTTCAATGAGGATATTTCAGTAAAATCTGAACAACTTGATGAAAAACTTTATTTTTTTGAAGTATGGTTAATACAGCATATGGCACTGTGCCCATTTTTGCAGCTAATTTCATATGCTGTTTAATACAGTCATTGGTTAACTGATTAGAAATGTGCATCAAACTCATGGTCCAGGAGGCTGTCCCATAAACTTAGGCATGGGTTAATGTTTATCTTAACACATTACAACTATGAGAAAAATGTAGCAATTGTTTTCCATACTAGTCTTTTATAATGACTTTCTCTGCTGATTGTGATTGTTTTGTTAGCGTATTTGTTGCTGTTACATAGTGCCTGCAGTCTCCTCCTCTGGATAAATCAACTATATAATGGTCGCATGAATTGTATTATTTTGGTGTTATTTAGTTTTTTCTGAACTACTCTGCATCTCAAAATAGATGTTGATGGACTCTGTGTCTTAAAGATACAGACACATGAAAATTATGCATTTTACACTGATTGTACCTGTATAGTAAATGCTTAATCACTTTGATAGTTTTTAAAAACATCTAACTGTCCAACTTAGAAAAAATTGTTGAAATCATTCTGGAATTTGTTTACATTTAATTTATACTTATTAATCAGGTAGGTATTTTCTCTAAGTTTCCTGTGATCTAGAGGCACCATTCTGAGACTTAGAGGAATAAAAGTATTCCTAATTTCCAAGAAACCTTGGAGACTGATTGGATTCGTATCAGTTATAGAACAGAATCCTTTATATCTACTTACACTAGGTGTGCAGTTTTGCCTTCCATCTCTATAGTGATGTATAGAACCTCACTTATAATTTAGGAAAGACATACATGAAGATTACATTACACTTTTATTATTCTGCTACATAATAACAGTAATAAACATAAATTGTAAACTAACAAGTAATGAGTTGTATTTATGATGTGCAAGACACTGAAATTATTGAAAAATAATTTCTCTCATGAAAGGACATGAGACTAAACCTTTCAGATCTTTGGAGTATGAGCATTATGTGAAATTTTTTTTTATTTTTTATTTTTTTATAAAATTCAAGATAATCCTTTTAAGTATGAGAAGTTTGAAATTTAAGAATTTTTATATACACTATTTAGTACTTATTGCAAGTTACTTAGCAAGGGGGTTTAACTATTCAAATATGTACTCATTTTATACAAATATATTAAGTAGAAAAACACAACAAATACAAAACAAATACTTCTGGCTGCTCTCCAGTCATGGCAATTCCTTGGTGTTGTGTGTGGTCTCTGACACCATTGTCCTGTCTTTTTCTTGTCTCTGCTCTCCCATTATGCCATTGGCAAGGAGTTGAGAAGTTAGTCCATTACTTCTCTGACAAAGCGTGGTACAGTACAATTTTAGATTTTTTCTTACCACCTTCCTCATAATCACTTTTGTTTTTGTTTTTTTCCCCCAGTTTGCATGATGCATGTCAGAAGCCTGCATGAACTTACAGGCATGTTACATACAAATGGCTTCATTTCTACCTTACTTTTAACCTTCAAAATGAATTTAATAATAAGTATAACTTGGATGTACCAAGAA